AGAATCAGTCTTTATTATCCATTGTGTAACCAATAAACTGTTGAACTTTTCTTCCGTGTCTGAGTGTGTTCTGCAAGTGGTTAGGTCCCTTAATCCCACCATGACAAGTGGTACTTTTTATTACTATGTTAATAACTGCGTATAGTTCATTAGATGGTTGGTAAAAAATACAGTCATGTAATATGTTTCAAATCGCAATAAAGACTTTAAAAGAACAATGTATTTGCGTATTTCATTTTTTACAACACGACTTGGAATCATGGGTAATCCAGAGCGTAGATTTAAACCATAACCGTTACGCACAATGTGTTAGCGACGATGGATACCAAAAAGAGGAACTTAAGCAGATTCCAGAAAAGAAAAAGGAAAGAAGAGCTGCTGGAAGAATGGAAAAAAACTTCTCAAAATAGGAGGATGTTGCTGCTGCAGTGAGTAAAGGTTGCAACCAGGAGAAGAATGGAGAGAGCGTGGGGGGGGGGAGGTGTGAAACTCAAGGTAGCCCGATAAGATTCATTTAACAGCAGAACATACTAAAGTATATCCATGTCTAGTGTAGGTGAGGAATGATTAAGTGTGCATGTACGGGTTATTCCAGCCTTCCGTCAGCGAACTCTGTATTATTATTTGGGCAAAAATGGCCGCTCCCAGACGAAAATGATCATTATCATTTTTCTAGCTAAATTCAGTAAATCACGCATTTAGTTTTAGGTATAAATAATGATCCATTGATTATTCCTGCTGACCAGACTTTTCCATTGAAAAAGAAAAAACAAAATATTAAAGCTATTTGCTTCTCAACCAATAAAAAAAAAAAGTTATTATGAAATAGAATATTATTTTTCGTACCCCCATACCTGGTTTACTTCCACAAGTAGGGAGACCGGGGCTAGTTGTCACACGGGTAAGTTGTCACATTGCAGTTATCTTCTCCACCAGGGGACGCAACTAAGAAGTGGAATATTAGTTTTCTTCCTTTGCATGGTCAGGTCTCACGGACTGAGTAAAAAGAGGACAAGACGTAATTTGAGATGAGCACCAATTGACCATTTTCCACTACCCAAAGTAAAAAATATTAACTCTATATTATTTTAAATAACCTTCATTCAGATAAGAATTCTTGCAG